ACGCAGTATCGGTAGTGGAGGGGCCGATGAGAGACATAGGACGAGTGCGGGGAGTAGACCAAGCAGGAAGAGTAGGGATGGGAATGGCAGCGGACGGATGAGCGGTGAAGGAGGACATGCGAACTCGCGTAGCGCGACGGGAATCGGGGAAGGATTCACCGGGATGAGGGAGCTTGCGGATCCGAAGGACGGGTTTGGAGAGGTCGCGACTGCTGCTATGGCCGCTGGCGCACCGAGCCCTGATAGCAGGACACACGGGAGAGGCATGACGCATCAGAGTGGGCTGAAGGGTATAAGAAGTTGCATGGGAGAGGATGTCGAGTAGAGATGGGGTGCTGGGCGCTGGGAATGAGCGGCGAATGTGAGGAGTGGGACGCATTGTAAAGCGGATGGGTGGCCGGTGGCCATGATTGCGTTGAAGCTCGCCGATCTACCATCTCATCACGATATGCCGCGCGCAATCTCGCACCCGCAAGCTACTCGCCCCCCTCATCCGGACATGATGCGCACGGATGCTTCAACATCACGCTCTCCTCACGATACTACATGATCCCGATTGGGCCGCTGTTTACTCTGCACATCAGTCGCCGATACCCCTTGCACATGATTCCCATCCCCGTCGCATACTGGGTTGTATAACACACTCTCACGCGTCTCCCGCTCTCCATACGCGCTTCGAACTCGATCCTCGTGTATCATAGAGCCTATGTCACATCCTCTTGCCCATCAACTATCATTCTCAACTCTGCGCCTGTACTCCACTCCGCGTCGTACTAACTGCATCCTGCTGTATCATCCCTTCCCCCTCCCCGCCCTCTCCCCCACGTTTCTCTTTGCTGCTCCCATCCGACGCGAACTACTTACATCGCGCCTCACGCTTCCTTCATCCTGGATTCTCTTTCTCTCCTCGTCTTCGATCTATCGCACCCTCCCTCTTTGTCGGTGTCTACCTATTCAATACCTCTTTTCGACTTATCCTCTACTTGGCCCTCGCTCCGATCCTGTGCTGCTTGGTCATGTTCGCTCTTCATTCTTCTCACTGCTCGTCACACGCGGTACTCGCGGACTTTCTGGCTGCCTCCTAAATTTTACACTATGGTTCCAATAGTCATCTACTCTGCTAGAGTGGAGATACGGGCGCGTGTGTTAACGAGAACGGGGACGGTGGGTGCCAAGTGCACAGCAATTATCAAGCACTATGGCGGTGATAGGGGCTCTCGCACCGTCAATGTCTAACGCGGGCTTGCATTTGCCTCTCTCGTTCAACGTTCATCTCCAACCGTTAGCGTTCATGTCGTACCCTCACAATCAGCCTACATACTCAGCCTCCCGATTTGCCCACCTCCCACGAGTAGGATTGGCGCCGTACCAAGAACGCGCTCAGCATGACGTCCGCGCGCTTCGCAACCCCGGGTTCTTTCCTCCCTAGAGTATGTAGGACTACTCCACCTACTTGAAGTTGACTGACGAACGAAGAGGACAGGTCTACAAAGTTGACCGCACCGTGCGCGTCTGGATGCGGGATCTTGGAGTCGGCTACGAGCAAGGCCGGTGCTTACTCGTTCTTAGCGTGGGGCCAAGAATGGGTGGCCCTC